GCGGCGATAACAAATACTATAGCAGAGTTGTCGTTCTTCTAGTATACGTTAAAAGAAAGGACGTAGATCGCTCGAGCTATAATAACTCGATTAAAGACATTGCTATCTATAGTAATAGCCTATATAGCGATAGCACTATAGAAGAGGTTATAGTAGTTCCGGCTACTAGTGCTATTAGATACATATAATACGTACCTCGTTCGATAGCACGGGTACTATTAAATAACCTTGCAAATAGGGATAGTTAATCGTTTATAGATAAGCTGTTGCGTGCTTAGCAGAGGGACGCCTTTGCTATCGAGCGCATTAATAAGCTTGTAAGTAGACGGGCGACTCGATCTAGTAAGAGTAATAACTAGTCGATCGACGACAAAGGTTACTTAAAGTTTAAGAGCAGATACTATATTCCCGCTAAACAATCGATTAGACAAGAGCTTTTAAAGAGGCACTATAATAGTAAGCTCGCTAGTTACTATAGTATAGAGAGGTCGTACGAGTTACTATCGCGCATATACTACTAGCTAAATAGTAAGCGGCATATAAAGGAGTATATATAGACCTATATAGTATACTAGCGAGTCAAAGCACTAAAGCACTTACTATTTAGCGAGTTGTCTTTACTTCCTGTTTCTAGGAAGCCATTTGCTAAGCTTATAATAGACTTTATTATAGGCCTTCCGCCTGCTAAGCGTAGAGGCAGCAAGGATATGTATAATGCTATCCTTGTTATAGTAGATCGATTTACTAAAGGCGCTCGATATATCCCGGCGCGGAAAGATTAGACTACTATTAATATAGTAGAAGCGCTATAGAACAATATCTTCTATACCTATTAGGGGACCCCTAAGGAGATAGTGTCTAATCGTAGATCGACACTAATATCTTACTATTAGAGCGAGATTTGCTTGTAGCTAAGACTAAAGCATCGGCTATTAACAGCCTTCTATCTACAAACTAACGGTTAAACAGAGAGGCAGAATGCCACCCTATAGCAGTACCTACGCAGTTACATTAACGAGAACCCTAACGACTAGGTCAACCTCCTATAACTAGCTAAATTCGTATACAATAACAGTGTCTACTTATCGACTAAGGTGTTACTATACATAGCTATAATAGGCTAGAACGCTGCTATGCTATAAGACCTACTATCGCTCGAGGCCGAGCGTAAGGAAAGGGAAGCGCGTTAAATACCCGAAACACTAGCGGCTATTAAGAGGGTTTAGAAGATGCGAGAAATCTATACTAAGATAGCCGAGAAGTTAACAAAGGCTTAAGAGTACTAAAAGACCTACTACGACAAGCACTATACGCTAATAACCTTTAAACAAGGCGATATAGTTATGCTAAGCACTAAGAACCTCCGTATCCGCAAGCACCTATTACCTAATAGCAAAACAAGGCCTAAGCTCGTACTAAGATATATTAGCCTATTCCGTATTCGAGAGGCTAAGGGCACACAGGCCTATTAGTTGTAGCTTCTACCTTATTACACTATCTATAATACCTTCTATATATCCCTCCTTAAGCCGTACTATCTACGCGAAGGGGATAAAGCCCCTGCTAAACACGAAGATATACTAGCGGATAGTAAAGAGCTATAGTCTATAGAACGTATTCTAAAGCACCGGACTAGGCAAGGCAAGAAGGAGTACCTATTAAGATAGCAAGGCTATTTACCTGAATAGGACTTATAGGAAGCTAAAGGTTCTTTTAAAGACATAACTAAGTTGTTAGATAAGTATTAGACTAGTGTAAAGAACAAGAAGAAGGCTAAGGGCCTATAATGTCGCCTAGGAATAATACTATCCCCGGGGTGCTATTAGCTAACTAATTAGAGACAAGCAAGTATTAGTAATAGAGGATAATAAGACTATACTAGGCGCGCTACGACGCGTTAATTAATCAATCGTATACTCTTTTAAGGACTCTACCTCTCTACTAACGCGCCCTATAGGTCCCCCTTTTATTCCTTTATTCTATCGAGGCCTCGAGACCTAGGCGATCGGCAAGGACGGCGCGGCCGGCGCAGCTATATTAGTAACGGTGTTGCGGAGTATATTGCTATTTAAGAAAGGAAGGACATAGCTATATTAGTAACGGTGTTGCCGAGTTGTTGTTAGTTAAAGAAGGAAATTAGAAGAAGGTAAAGTTAGCGCTAAGGCGACTAGCGCTACTATTATTAATATTACTTGCTATTATCGCTACGCCTATAGACACAACCTTACCTACACTACGAGCCTAAGGCACCTTTAATTAAGACTTTAATCAAAAGCTTTAAGCCTATTAAAGGTTTAATCGAAACTTTAAGGCTAAGTTAAAACTTTAACTAAGTTAAAGGATTAAGCGACTAATAGACTAACTAAGAGCAAAAACTATAGAGCTAAGCTAGCCGGGGTCGATCTTGCGGACAATAGGTTACTCCTCGATCTTTCTAACCCTTTAAGCGAGGCGAACCTCTACTACTACACTTATAATAGCCTTTACCTATAGAAACTAGACGAGCTGTGTTTTTTCTAAAAAGATAAGATAAGATTAACAATTGAAGGCTGCTAAACCTAACTAATTAGGGCTAGCGAAACTACGAATAGTAATAGCCCTCGTAATAATAAGAACAAACCCTCGGAAGCGGACAACCCTCGGAAGCGGACATAGCTAGGTCTTTTAAAGTAGACGCAAAGAACTCGGTACGATATTACGTAGAACGGGGGCAGTGCTACAATACCCCGTATACCTACCTATTATAGCAGGGAAGGTGCGCTCGTATTATAATTAGTCGATAGTCCTTAATTCTTGTAGTTATATATCACTTTATTATATACAAGGATAGCGTAGTTAGAGTTAGACATTGTGCTATATTAGAGGTAAGGTTTGACATAGTTACATAATCGGTAGTTAAGCGTTCAATTTAGCGCGGACTAAGCGGCCTATAGGACCTACTAAGTTAGCAGTAACGGGGGTTAAGACTAGAACAAAGACCGGCTACGAGGGCGCGGCCTTTAGAAGGGAAGCGTATATTAGGACTAAAGAGGTTATACGTAATTGGTATATAACCGGGCTCGAGTGAAGCTAGGGTCGTAATGCCTTAGGTAGGGCTTAGCGCTTAGTAATAGGCCAACTTGCCTGCCTTCCTCCCTCTCCTCGTAGCTCCTTATCGAATACTACTCGTACCTACTACCACCCTATCTACCTGCTAATATACCCTTCTTATAAGGTACTAGACAGTCGTTAGAAGGATAGTTATTTAGCCTATTTAATAGACTAGTCGATTAGAAAGTAGCACGACAGTTAACTGTTACTAAATCTACGACTAAGACTAAGCTACTAGCTGCCTTATATATAGGCTTAGAACTAATCTAGTAGAAGCGCTTCTTCGACAATATTAGCCTTACCTTAGATAGCCTTCCTATACTATATTGTAACAATATATAGACCCTACGCATTATTAAGGCAGATACTAGTAAGCTAGACACTAAGCTTAGGTATGTAGATATTTATTAATATTAGCTACGCTAAGAATATAAATTAGGCCGTATATACTGCGAGTACCTAGCTATATAGGATATGCCCGCCGATAGACTTACTAAACTCTATAGACTATAGAACTAATAGAGGTTTATATAGCAACTTAGACTATTAAGGCTACTAACTAATAGGCTGCAAAGTAAAATAGGATTAATACCTAAGGATATATAAGGAGGCAACTCTTCCTTTAACAACCTCTTCCTCTTTAGTAATACAAAGACAACTCTATATAATAGGTAGTAGTAGCGCCCCCCCCTCTATTTGCTACTAATTATAACTAAGTCGATTAAATATACCTTTATCGATTAGCGCTAACAAAAGTGTCTAATACGATAACGACGACTAATTAGAATAAAGGATTCAACCTTATCTTCTAATATAGACTAAACAAATAGTATAGGCAATCGTATAGGAAACTTTACCTTACGGGGTACGTTACTATCGCCTATATTATTACTTCGAACATTACTTCTACTAACTAATAATAAGTCTACGGCGATTATATTAGTGCTAGTAATAATAGTATAGTAGTCTTAGCTAAGGGTAGCGTCCTTAGTTTAAGTTACCTATCCTAATTCGTTAAATCTATTTAACTAATGTATATCCTTACTTAATCCTTCGTCTAATTAAATAGACGCTACCTATACGATTGATCTAATAAACGATAGTAATAATATAAAGGGCTTAGTTCAATTTAATTAAACTAACTTTACTATACGATACGAGTACTTAGATAAGGCTTAATAGTATTAGTCTATACTTAGACTACGTAGGAAGACAATAGTTCCTAGTAATAGGGACTATATATAAAGGTATATATATAGTCCGGATTATGTAACGATATCCTTCTAGGGTAATCGGGGTATAAAATAAAACTCTCTTATATATAGTATAGATTTAAACTATTTTTTTTATTGTTTTAATAAAGTACTATATAAGAAGTCGAAAGGATTAATTTTTCTTTTGTTTATATATAAAGAAGCATTAACTACCTTACCTAAAACGGAAGGCAAGCCCCTTTCTTTTTATATAAGCTAAGGGGGTATATAACGCGTAAGCTTAGTTATATAATAGTACGTAACTTCTTAGTAGGAGAAGGATTTCTATACTATATTTTAGACTATAGAATAAGCAGAACATAGGCAATCAACGAAGCTATATTGAACAGCTAGCAAGGCAGTATTACGTAAGTAATCCACTGCGCTGTGCGTGATACAGGCAACAGAATACCAATTACTAGCCGGCCTGTGCTCTGACGCACAAGGCAGCGATAAAGCACGAGCAAATGTCTGAAAGCCATGCAATACGACATCCACACTCATTCGCTGCCTTGACAACATTCTGATACCCTCAATGTTTAATCTCTAAACCAACCCTCGCTCGTGAAAGCCCGCACGTGCCAAGCATTTCCTGTTTCACGCCGTACGGCAACCCCGTGCTCGTGTGGCTGACGACATCCTCCACTCCCACTTCCACGTCCACTGCCATACAACTGCTGCTGCTACAAATACAATACCACACCACGTTTCTTCACAGCACGACGCCACCGACGACAGACATCGCGCGCACCGAGCTCGAAAGCAGCCGACGCTCCTTTGTACATTTGCCCGCGGCTCGGCGAGGCGATCCGTACGAACTCCAGCAGGGTCACTTACAGACAAAGCCCACGGAGAAGAGCGAACCCGGGCCTGGGGATAAGAGAAGCGCCATATCGAAAGACGTACCAGACTCATACCGCTGCCCAAGATGGCCGGCACCAGGAATTATGACTTTCTCGTACGTGGACACTTATCTCCAACACGCCAGAGGGCATTCACCAAGGTGGAATAGAAGTCGGCAGCAATCGTCTCGACACATAGGCGAGCCAGCAGGCGGCGATCCACGTCGCAAAATGCTACGGGGACATGCGCATAGACTGACCTGCTGTATCTCTACAGATCAAATTGCTGCTCATCGGCGACTCTGGCGTAGGCAAATCATGCTGTCTCCTGCGTTTCAGCGAAGACTCCTTCACGCCTTCTTTTATCACGACCATCGGCATCGACTTCAAGATCCGGACGATTGAGCTCGACGGCAAGAGAGTAAAGCTGCAGATATGGGATACTGCTGGTCAGGAGCGATTCCGAACCATCACCACTGCATATTACAGAGGCGCAATGGGCATCCTACTGGTTTATGATGTCACAGACGAGCGCAGCTTTAACAGTGAGTCTTGCCATGGCACACAGCATGAACAACGGAGAAGGCAGGAGCGTTTGGCTTTAAAAAGGCGGTGACTGACATGTCTATGCTTCCCAGACATCCGAACATGGTTCTCGAACGTCGAGCAACACGCAACAGAAGGCGTCAACAAGATCCTCATAGGCAACAAATGCGACTGGGAAGAGAAGCGAGCCGTGTCGACCGAACAAGGCCAAGCATTAGCAGACGAGCTAGGCATACCGTTCATGGAAGTCTCCGCGAAGAGCAACATCAACGTCGACAAGGCTTTCTACAGTTTGGCAACCGATATCAAGAAACGAATCGTGGATACGCAGCAACCCGCGCATACGAACAACCAGAACGTCAGCGTGGGAGGCGGCTCGGGTAGCGCGGGAGGTCTTGGAAAGAACTGCTGTTGAGAGTGCTTCTTTTCTTATGAGGTTAGACTTATGCAGTGAACAGAGCGCATGGGGACTAATTTGGAGTTGCTCCTTTTATTTTCACGACATGGCGTTTTTTTTTGTGTGTGCTGGAGATCAAATAGTACCCCCAGGTCAGGCAGGTATATCGGATGGCATTGTACAGGCAGCCTTTTTTTGTCTCGAAATTTTCACATGGCTTTCTTGCGTTTCACTTTCACTGCAGGACAGCCCGTTACGAGATAGATATGGGTGCGAAGCAATGGATTCAACGCTACGTCTGCTGCTCACAATGTTGCGGAGAAAATGCTGTAAGTTTCAGTCTCTACCTTGTATGTCTTCTGTGGAGCTGATGAGCGGCCCTGGCTACGCATGTTTCTGCACGTAGTGAAGAGTGCACGACCTCTTGGTCACTGGTTCGCACAAGCCTTGAAGGTTGTCGTTGTAGTCTCGCGGCAACACATGCTACAGCCATCTGTGAGCATTTCTCTACGAATATTCACCTGCAAACTCACCGGCCACCGCACTCCTAGGCATCAACGAGCTATTCGAAATCATCTCATTGCACATTCCAATCCGAGATCTACTGATCCTCCAGCGCACCGCTACAATCTGGCGAGACACCATTTACAATTCGGCTACGATTCAGATCAAAAACTATGCACTCGCGACGAGTCTATACCTACCACCATGGAGGGTACTGAGCGGTGGGTGGGAGGGAGGGAGGTTTTTTTTTTTTTTTTTGCCGAGTGATGAGGAGGTTGGGAGAGGATGGAAATGAAAGTTGGGGGATTTTTTCGAAGAGGAAGAAGAAGAAATCCTTCGCTTCGGATAAAGCAACTTTCAGACCAAACCTCGACGGAGGCGGAAGGTTCAAGGACGTATACTAAACACAGTCCTCAGCCTCGTCGATTGGGTCTTGCTATGATGATAGGACACAAACAAGAACGAGGACGGTGACAAGCGCGTGTCGGAGTCTAAGAAAAACTTGAAGAGTGCTGACAAGGACTCGTCGAAGTCCAAGAAGGGCAAGAATTATGAAGATGGTGATTGCCTTAAGGACGAGTGAGTCGACCGAATTTGGCTCGGTCCTTGAACAAGAGACTCTGAGGTTGCGTTCCCCTCGTTCGAAGATCTGCGTATCTCGGGGTAAAATCAACGAGTTGCGCAATATGTGGAAAAATTTAAATCAGGTCCTGGTGTCCGCAATCGATCGTTGTCATATAGCAATGGGTTCCCCTTCCCCCTCCATAACTTTTCTTTCATCTCCCAGAGGACATGGTTGGCGCGGAGGACTAAAAGGTCCAAAATCCTTATCATTACCCGGCAGCCTATGCACATGGTATCAAAGCACATATGTACAGAAAAACACTGCATTCCGTACCTAACCCATCTTACACCCGAACTCCTCGCTAATGGTTTCATAGGAATTGCATGTCTCTTCTAAGTTTCTACCATTTCATAGAAAAGCATGTAGACCTCCCTTTGCATACCGAGAACATCGCTCGTCTTGCTCTCTTTGATCTTTTCGTCGCTGATTCTCCACCAACGGTCAGTGCTTGTTTTCTTACGCCGTTGGCTGCCTGTGATGCTACGAATGTTGCGAGTTGAGGATGTCCGCTTCGGTTTCTCGGCGTTGCCTTCCGTTGTCGAAACGCCGTTTTTATATGCAGTCGATGTGTCTATGGTCGCCTCTTGTGTTAGTGGTGGGACCGGGATTTCTGCAGTAGACGTGAGCTCGTGCGAGGCGCTCGGTATACTCATGGTTGAGAGCATGGATTTTCGTTTCTCTGCAGATGGCGTAGACGCTTCGACAGGCTGAGTCGATGATCGCGAAGAACTACTCGGGGTTGCTGATGTGAGTGTAGATAGAGATTGGGAGTCTGCGCTTGATACCGGGCTGTCTCGGACATCTCTCCCCTCCTTCCCGGACCTGGCACTCAATATTGGACTATTGAGTGCACTAGGCACAGGAGAGTTCCTCATGCTGAAAACACCCTCTGTACCCATGGTTGTAGGTGTTGAAAATGGTTGAGGTAGGACCTGTCGACGGAACGACTCGTAATGACCACTATTGTGCCCGCCCTTATGCGTCACGACACCTAGCAATCGATACGACTTTCTGTCTAAGAGTCCGCCGAGCGGTAGTGATTCCGGAAACGATACCTTTGCTTGGTTCTTTGCTGATAACGCTGATGGATCCCACACCGATCGGGATAGATGCACCGACAATATCCTGGGGAATGTCGAGATTCGCGTGTGCCTAGCTATCCTTCGCTTCGGCGCAGTGGATGAATCTGGGAGCTTGACATGGTTGGGTAGCTTCTCTGGGTCGTGATCCAGAGCCTCTTGCAACTTGGCTTGATCTCCTTCGATCGCCTTCCTTTCGGATTTCGTTAGATTTGACTTGGCAAGGAGCCGCGTGTTCACTGACATGGCGTGCACAAGTCTGCAACGATCACACACAAAGTCGTCAATATGCTCCACCTTCAACAACCCATCGAAACACTCATTAAGGGTTGCCGATGTTTGTAGATGCGGCACATGCAGCGTAAGGGTCAGGAACGAGGACACTGTTGGCTTTGGTTTGAAACGGCAATGCGAGCACTCGACTTGCGACTCCAGCTTGCCTTGAAGTGGAAACACACATTCGTCCTGCTCCGGATCTTCGTCTCTGTTTCCAGTTGTGGTTGACATGAGTTTACTGTCCCTCGGGTGATCTTCCTCGTTGCCGTTTGGTCGTTCTGCAATAGTTGCCCGAGACTCAATTGTCACACCAAAGCCTTCCGCTAGACTCCGTCTCGCCTTGCGGCGCACTCTCCTGCCCGCATTGTATTCTTCTGCAACTCTTTGCACAATCACTTGCAGAAACTCCTGCGCATCCTGCTGTGTCCTTGAGATCCTAGTTCGGAATGCTTGCTCGACACATCTGATGAAGGACTGTGCCGATATAGTCTTCTTGTAGATAGGCCTCTCATTCAGCGCATCTAGCACCTCTTTCAAGCCCGCAGTGACCAGGCCTTGTTGCAGACCCTCAATCTGCCACTCCGGCGTCCTCTTGGCGCCTGGCTTCTTCTTCGATTCTTCCTCCAATGCTGCAGAAAGGTCGCTGTACAGTTGCGGCCCGTCTAGCTTTCGGCGATGAACCTCCCTAATCAGGAATGCTCGCAGCTCCGGCAAGCCCGCCAAAGCTTGAAGAACCGAGTTGATGAAGCAGTCGTTTGCCGGATTGACCAAACCTACGACGCCTTTTTTGCGAGTGCTCTTAGAACTCTGGGCAGCCTCGGCGTCGAGGAAGAAGGTGGGAGCAAAGACGTAGACCAAGGTAATGGCAGCCAAGGATGCACCGGCGGCGTAGGTCGCGATGGTCAGCGGTTTCTCGGGCATCTTCCGCCGCGCCCTGGCGGCTGCTGTGCCTGTGCCTGTGCCTGTGCCGGCGAACACTATGAGGGTCTTTTCGCGTTCACCTGGGCCCGCCGTCGCGGGCGGTCGTGCGCAAGATATGCTTGTGGTTGAGGAGAGTCCGGAGGCAATAGCTGCTCCATAACGAGCCAGCAGGTTGACAAAGGAGTCCAGTTGGAGGGATTGGACCACACGCGCGGGACGCGGGATTGTGCAAGACGCAGAGGGTCGCTGGGATGTGGGATGTTTCTACGCTGCGCTGCCTCCAAGCTAGTTGCTAGTTCCGGCGACTTGGATGTTTGGTCGGCCACCAATGTGAAGCGGGCTGCTTCGGCTGTGGAAGAAAGACTGCCGAACAAACGCTTGGCCCTGCGCCTTGGCAACGCTGGCTGCACAGGCCGTCGACTTTCACTTCACTCGTCGTTGGCATGTGAAAGTGTGCTTGTCACGGAGCAGCGAGCTATCATGGCATCTCCATTGCGATCCCGAAGCATAGCGCTACCGCAGTGCACGGCGTGTCTGCGCAGCTATGCGTGGCAGGCAACGGCAGACGCCTCCGCCTGTCAAAATGCTCTCCGACAGCAGACGAGGAGCAAGAAAACCGCGACAAAAGCGTCAGCAACAGTGCCAGCAAGGCTGTTGAAGGATCTACCGGGATTCGGGAAAGCTGGTATGATTTCTAATCTTATCCCATGAAAGCTCTCCCCTCTAAAATCTACGCGCAGGCTCTATTGTCCCAGTGACCCGCGGCGAGCTTCGAAACCACTGGTTCCCCAAACGCATCGCCGCATATGTAACGCTCGCAGAACAACGACAACTTCGGCGCGACAATATACCCATAGAGCGTGACTACAACTTCGGCAAGAAAGATGACCTGGCAGCAGCGGCGCTGGCAAAAGCAGCCCGAGCACCCGAGCCCGAGCCCGCGCCAGTGTATGAGAAAAAAGCGCCAGAGGTGGAGAGATTGACTGCTCAAAGAAGTATGGAGCTGCTAGATATATTTGTGCCACATCGCATCGATTTCTACAGAGAACCGATCATGGAAGCAGAAAAGCTTGAAGAGCCAGAGGCAGCGGCAGCGGCGGAGAAGAAAGAGGACAAGAAGCAGTCGGCATCGAGTGCAGCAGCAGACTTGCTGGCGGCGAGATCGTCAATCCCACGAGAGAAGCCCAAGCCAAAGATGACGGGAGCAATCTATGGCTCGGTAAGCGCGCACGACATTCTGGTCGCGGTCCGGGCGGCCATCGCAACGAATGACGAAGCAGCAAGAGTCCTCATTGCAGAGCAGGACATACACTTTATGGACCCTCAGGCGCAATCCGAGAACAAGATCAAGTCGATTGGAGATTTTACAATCGAGCTCAAGATCAAAGGCGTCGAGCAAGGCATTAGAAGGACTGTGAGGGTCGTCCCACAGGAGTCATCGTGACAGCCAGCATGATGAACTCAGAGTTATTGCTCGCACACAAATTACTCGTAAGGTGGAAAGGCGTTTGTGTTGAGAACGCCGACCTTTTTCCAGATCCGCCGACCCCGCGGGATGAAACCAGCCGCAGTATGCGCCAATACCACCGATCGACAGGTACGAGGCATGATGATGTGAATATATGAGACACAGACTCAACCCCGTGGTGCCATTCACTGCTGCCTTTGGCGCGAGACAACGCATGATCCGCTCCGCCACAGCAGCTTATGTATCATTGTATAGATTGTCCCAATATTCACCATTTCGTGCCGGAAGAAACAAAAACCTCCCGCCGGACATTTCTTTCTGATCTGCCTACGCAAGTCACACTCCAACAAAACCAACTAGATCGAAGGAAGCCACAGTTTCGCACTGGAAGCACAAGATATCGAGAAGTTGCCGTCTACTGTGCTCACCTAAACCACTTTCCGCAGTCAATCATACCGGAGTGGAAGCATTAAAACCAAGAATGTGCATCCTCACGATACGATCCTGGCCATGCGGTCACAGCCGCTGCACTTCGGCAGATGTGTGCATGGACGCCCTTTCGATGCCAGGGACAGCACCTTACGACTGTCCGTTTGCAACACACTCCTTTCATAGGCAAAGATCTCGCGACTGGCCCTGTCCGATCTGCAGTCGGCACAATGGACCACGAGATGTAGCGCACGAGCGTGACCCAGGAAGGCTGCCGGCTTCTATGTCGCCTCGCAAAATGCAGCAACAGGCTCTGAGGCTTCAGCGAGCTGCACGAGAGCAGCAAGGTCAACGAGCGGCAGATTTATGTAGAGCTTCACAACAGCTTCAACAAGACTGGCAAAGCATAGGCCTGCCCTCATTGCCGGCCTCAGTGGAACCACTGCGCGAAGGATTATCGCCCATTAGACCTGCCCCTAGTGGCACAAGACATGCCGCAGAAGACCTTACTTGTGGCTCTAGTGACACAGCAAGCTCGCTGTCAAGTCCCGTCACGCCCAATCATGCAGAAACACATCCTTTGTGGTCTGACTTCAATGATCTGAAGATAGACCGCAGCGAAGCCAAGGCGATGCCACACAAAGCTTCGCCAAAGCACGACTAAATGTTACGTCTTGGAATCTGATTAATTCCGATGGATAAATGCGGATGGCGGCCATTATTGCAGCGTATCCCAATGAAAGTCAGCAGGCAGGCATGATTGCGTGGAAACTCTGTTGGCCCTGCCTCATTCGGCGTACCTCCTCCGTACTCAATGCGAAATTAGATTAAACCGACTAACTAAATAGCAAGGCACTGCCAGGCAGGTAAAACTCTCAACAACTTCTCTGAAAGAAAAAAAGAACCGTGAGCTCTCGATTCTCGAGTTCACAGATATGGCGGACCACACACTCTGGTACACAACCCCGGCCAACCTGTGGGAAGATGGCCTCCCAATCGGCAATGGACGTTTGGGTGCAATGGTTCGGGGCACCACAAATGTCGAGCGCCTCTGGCTCAACGAAGATTCAGTTTGGTACGGCGGGCCACAAGAGCGTGTCAATCCGGGTGCATTGAAGAACTTGGATCGGGTGCGAGACCTCATTAACCAGCGACGTATTTCAGAAGCGGAGAACCTCATGTCCAGGACTTTCACTGCAATGCCGGAATGCATGAGACATTACGAACCTTTGGGCGATTTGATGCTGTATTTTGGGCATGGTGTGGATCCACCAGGCCATCATCAGCATGTGGTCGGCATTCCACAGTTTGAAAATCAGAAGTGGTCTGGTGGTGGGGGGAAGGAGGTGACGGGATATAAGAGGGAGTTGGATTTAAGGACTGGAGTGGTCAGCGTGGAATATGAATGTGATGGTGCGCATTTCAAGCGAGAGGTATTTGCTAGTATGACGGCGGAGGTAATCTGCATGAGAATGTCTTCAGATCAGGCCATGACATTTATGTTAACGTTAAGTCGTGGAGATGACAACGATGCCCATCGAAAATTCGACAGGACCTTCGATTCCTTGACAAACACCGAAGATGGTCTATTGCTACAAGGCGCCATGGGTGGCAAAGGCGCAGTCGAGCTCGCAATCGGAGTCAAGATCCTAGGAGACAAGAACACGAAAATTGACGCCTGCGGTATCGACGTCGAGATCACAATGGAAAGGGACAGTAGCGTCACAATCCTCATCGCCGGCGAAACCACATTCCGCAACGAAAACGCATCCCAAGCAGTCCACTCCCGCCTCTCCCACGCCTCAGAAACTCCCTGGACCCGACTCCTCTCCTCCCACATCGAAACCTTCTCAAACATCTACAACCGCTGCACCCTCACCCTCTCCCCAACCCCTTCAACCCCCCTCCCAACAAAACCCTCCTCGCCAACGCTCGCCACCCTACCACCAACACCGCCACCTCCCAAAACCCTCTCTCATCCCTCCTCTTCAACTACGGCCGCTACCTCCTCCTCTCCTCCTCCAGCCCCCTCTCCTCTTTACCTTCCAACCTCCAAGGCCTCTGGAACCGCGACGAAAAACCCGTCTGGGGCTCAAAGTACACCGCCAACATCAACGTCCAAATGAACTACTGGCCCGCAGAAATCACCAACCTCTCCGAATGCCACGAAGTGCTCTTCACCTTCCTAAAACGTTTGGCCGCAAGAGGAAAGAAAACCGCGAAGGAGATGTATGGGATTGACAGAGGTTGGGTGAGTCATCATAACACTGATATCTGGGCCGATCCCACGCCTCAGGATCGGAGTATATGCGCGACGTATTGGAATTTGAGTGGGGCGTGGTTGGTGGTGGGACATATTTGGGAACGGTATCTGTTCAGTCGAGACGAGGGGTTTTTGCGGGAGAATTGGGACATCATGAAAGGTTCTGCGGAATTTTTCGTCGAGTTTTTGGTCGAGGATGGCGGGAAGAAGGATGGGAAATTGGTGACGAGTCCCAGCGTTTCCGCCGAAAATTCTTATTTCTATGTTGATGGCGAGGGGAAGAGGCAAGTGGGGAGTGTATGTGCCGGACCGACGTGGGATTCGCAGATTTTGAGGGAATTGTTTGGGGCGTGTGTGCAGGCGGGGAGGATTTTGGGGGAGGAGACGGGGGAGTTTGAAGGCGTTTTGGGGAGGTTGCCACAAGACGAGATTGGGATGTTTGGACAGATTATGGAGTGGAGGGAGGATTTTGAAGAGGTCGAGCCGGGACATCGACATGTTTCGCATCTTTGGGGATTGTTTCCGGGGACGTCGATTCAGGCCAAGGAAATGAAAGATGCGGCGAGAGTTACGTTGAAACGAAGGCTTGAGGCGGGAGGGGGACATACGAGTTGGAGTTTGGCTTGGATTCAGTGTTTGTGTGCGAGGTTGAGGGATGAAGAGTTGGCGCAGGAGATGGTGGGGAAGATGAGTGGTGCGGTGTTGGAGAATTTATTTGCGAATCATCCTCCGTTTCAAATTGATGGGAACTTTGGCTATACGGCTGCTGTGGCGGAGATGCTTTTGCAGAGTCATGAAGGGCCTATTGATCTGTTGCCGTGTCTTCTTGCCGATTGGGCGGAGGGAGGGAGTGTTAAGGGACTCAGGGCGAGGGGGAATGTTGTGGTTGATATCTCTTGGAAAGATGGGAAGCTGGTGCATGCGACGTTGTCGTCGACTACTAAGCAGACGCGAGTATGTCGTATCAATCCAAATCGATTGATTAGTGGGAAGGGAGAGGTGGAGGTGGAGATTGGACCGGGTGTGGCGTGCGAATTGAATGGTGTTTGGGAATAGCAAAATGTCATAGATGTTGAATAGTGCATATTTAGTCCTCAGAACCCTGAATTCATATTCACCGAATATAGGTTGTGCTCCACTTAAGTGAATAGTCAACATTCGGGACATTTCTTAGCGACAGCGAGGTGAAAAGGCAGCGAGGTACAATACTTACGAGAATGTATCCCTCGCCTAAGTCTAGAAGCTTTCAAGGGTAGTAAGTCTATTTAAAGACTATCATTCACTTCATTCTTGGTAGGGAGCCTCTGACAGCAAGACAGGCTAGTCTGGCCAGCCCTCTACCTTTAGTATACAAAATCTAGTGTTCCGATGATTACATGAGTAGACCCACCATTCAGTACATCCATATTGAAGATCATATTCAGCTGAATGCGAATATGTAGTCTCAAACTGAATACTCACTATTCAAAATCCATGCTAGAAATAGTGAATCTTCTAGGACTGAGCACGCTCAGACGCTGTCATTCGTACTTTAGGCCGAAAAATCCGCCCCATGTTGCGAAGTCTTACGCTGTCGCCTCCTGATCAGCCTTGACCTTTTCGTCATCACAAGCTCCTTCGATCGGTACGACGTAGCCTTTGAATTTCTTCGTAGGCACATTGTGGCTAAAGAGCCAATCCTGTTCCTCATACGTACGGCCTTTCGTCTGCTTCGATGTTAGCTGTCATGCCCATCAGAGGACGCAAAAGTTTTGTAGAAGGCTCACCTCAGGCAGTCGAAAATAGGCCCAGATCAAGGAAAAGACCGACACGCCAGCGAACAAGAACTCCATCTTCGCTCCTGCATTGACAGCGCCAGGATTGAGAAGGTAAGGACCAAGGATTGTCAAAACCAGGTATGTAGCGCCATTGAACGTCGCGGTCAGGGACAATGTCTTGGCTCTGAGTCTTGTGGATGGAGTATCGGATGAGATAATGAATCCCAGAGGACCAATAGTGAGTGCATAACTCAGTTGCATGGAGATCAACATTCCAGATTGAGCCCAGGCATAGCCGTGGTTAGATTTGTAGTTTGGTGCGAAGCACATCAGAGCGACAGGCCACAGGATTATCTGAGCATAGCAAAGACTGAAAAGCCAGCACGTCCGTCGACCAAACCATGTCAGTGGGAAGGCGCAGAGTACAGCGCCGACAAAATTCATGCTCATCAGGCCGATGCTCATGTTGAAGGCATTCGCTGTGCTCAGTCCGACCTGTTCGAAAAGGTATGTTGCGAAGCCTACAGGATTTCCGGAGAAATTCTGTGTGATGAAGAGCATTGAGCAAATTTCGAGTCGTCGTCTGTTGCCGTTCTTGGTGGAGAAGCAGTCTCGGTAGGTGGCACCATCCTCCAATTCTTGTTCGTACAGGTCGGTCCGGACCATCATGGCAAGTGTATTGTGATTGCTCTCCCACATTTCTCGACTGGTCAAGCTATCAAGTGCTTTCTTCGCTTCATCGAGACGGCCCTTGCGAATGAGCCACCAAGGGCTTTCAGGGCACCATATGAGGCCGATGAGCAAGATCGCTGGCCACACCCATTGGATTGCGTATGGCGTCCGCCAAGCCCAGTCGCTATCCCAGTTGATGAAAGCACGAGTGATCCCGGTTTGCAAAAGCTGGCCGATCACGTATGACAAGTTCGCGGTGCCCGTCATGAAGTATCGAAGTCGTAGAGGGAGGACCTCGCTGGCGTAGGCAGGTGCGAGCACATGGTAGCCGCCCCAGATGATGCCTTGTAGATACATTGACGCGGTCAAGACGCCTATATTTGGCGCAAAGACTTGCATGAACACCAGAGCAGACGTGATCGATAGATACAGCGCTAGTGTCTTTCTGCGGCCCAGCCGGTCCATAGGTATAGCGCAAGCCCATGCTCCGATGACTTGACCAACGATGGCGCCCATGCCCATGGCAATCTGCCATTCCGTCGGGACTTGATATCCGTGACCTTTTAGCACTTCACCGAAGCGCTTTTGAAAAGCAGGGAGTGCGAAGAAGTTGCCGGTAATCTCGATATCATAGGCTCTCATCACAACGCAGAGCGAGACGAACATTGACCAAGCGGACGCCTTCCAGTATTTGCGCAGTGCTTGCATCAGTGGCATTTCATGCTCGAGAAGCGTTCCCTCTGCTGCTCTCCGAGCATCCTCGGCTCCAAATTTCCGCAAATCGTCGGCATCGTCGGTTCCATCCTCTGCTGTTTCCACAAAATGGACCCGAGACTTGTCCTTGGATGTATCGTCGGGCACTGACGACTCCTCAGGTGTAATCTTGTTCTCCATAGTGGCCATGCGACTGTGTACAAGGTGAGAAGGGGCTACCGCTGCCACTGCCAGGCATGGCACTTATTATTATTATCTGCATTTCTTCAGCTTCGACCGATTTGCGGAGAATCCTAGTACCGGCTGAATAGCACTTTTCTGTATTTTAGGCGAACAGGTATGGATTCGGTACTTCATCAAGTTCACTCATCGCCTGATCCTTGCTACAGCGCGAGTTTGTTCTGTTTTTAAAACGGCAATAACAGCACTCGGCGGAGGCCGCCATTCTCTCCGTCTCTTCGGTATACTTTGACCGCCTTGTGGAGAATCCCGGAATGGCAGTTTCCTGTATTTTGGGCGGACAGCTGCCGATTCGGTACTTCGCTCGTCGGCTAATCCTTGCCACAGTTTATTCAGTTCCTAAAACGGCAAGAAATGGAAATGGGGCTCAGGTCACCCAGCAGAAGCCGCAATTCTCCTCGGCTCTTCAACTCTTCTCAGCCAGTCCAGAACCAAGGCCTGCAAGACCTGCCTATCGTATTCATCAACGGGCAGTCCATGATCCGCGCGGTCGAGGAGCGCGAAAGACGCCCTGGTGTAAGACTGGAGAAGGGTCCAAGCATCACGGTACCCGGTCACACCATCTTGTCTGCCTGTGACAATCAAAGTCGGCTTCTTAAAAGATGCTTTGTCGTCATGCAATCGTGCATTCAACCCATATTTGTTCGGATCATGCCGAATGACGTCCAAAGCCGTAGCATCAGAAGCCTCAACAGCAGGAAGAACAATCTCCGTAAGTCTCTTTCGAAACTGTCCAATATATTCAGGCGTCTGAACAGCTGTATCTCCAAGCTGTTGCCGTTCAGCAGTCGGCAGCGAGGCAAGAAGTTTTTCATTCGCGATAGCAGGAACGAACGGGTCGAGATCCCGCTTCTCATTGACAGGCTCTACGAGTGGAACTCGAAGAAGCAAGCCATCAACGTGCGTTTCGTACTTACACGCCAAGGCACGAGCGAAATACGCGCCGCACGAAGATCCGGCGAGGAGAAATTCTGAGGGTAGAATGTGATTCTCAATGAATGTCTCAACGCTCGCCAGCATGGAATCGAGATCTTTGGCTTGACCGAGCGGTGTCTGGCCCATGCCTGGAAGGTCGATGTATATTCTTCGGTATTGACTGGTGTGCTTGCTGAAAATTGGTTCGAGGTCGTGCGCTTCGACTGCGCCGGAAATGGTCCATCCATGGATGACGAGAATTGGGAATCCTTCGCCATACTCGCGGAAAGCGAGATCCTGCAATGCCGCCATGTTGGGAAGTTGATGCGTGAGGTTGATGTCCCTTGAGGTCGCAGCTGAGATGGAGGGAGCTTTGCCAAGAAAGTCTCTTGGTGGCAGGCGGTAGCGATGCACGCTTTGGAATCCTCCCAAGGCGTTATGGCTTCACTGTAATGCGAGCGGTGCGAAGCCGGCGGTTGAAAATGTGCATGAGCACCGCTGACAGAACTCGTCTTGTTGTTCTTGTAGAATACCTGCTACAGATCGACCAAGAAACACCTCGCTAAATACATCGTCATCCATGGGTATCTTGCTTCAAGAAAAAAAGCAGCAACATGACAGCTGCCGGTCCCATATCCAGTCTTAGCAATCCATGCCTTTTCCCGCCATATCAATACGCCGTCGCTATGCCGTTTGGTACGAATGAAACCGTGCAAAGAGCACTATGCAGGCAAGCCAGACAGCAACTCTGAGCCGAGAGACAGAACTTCCTTGGCCAATGATGGCTTACTCTTCCAGTTCGCCTTCCTCACTGCCTTCTCCATCCGATTGAGCCTGTTGAGGCTGCGATTGCGATGCGGTCTGCTCTGCCGCTTTCATATCGAGCGCTGCCTGCTCGTTGCCATTCTGCACTCGCGATGCCTCTTCTTGTTCCTTCAAGCCCTCGACTTCTCCGCCACCAGCTGGAGCTTCTGGCACAGGTACAACAACGCCATTCTCAGACTTCTCCTTCGCCTTGTCATCGTTATCAGTGTGGTGCGCATCGAGTCGAGGTCGCTTGTTCTCTTTGTCACCAGATATCGAATCGCCGTTGGGTTGGCTCTCAGCACGTCCACGCTTAATTCCGATGCTGCTGGCGTTGCTCGCTCGTCTTTCGCTACCAGGGTAGGGTGATACTGGCCCGGATCCATTATCCCTACCCCGCGTCTTATCCCAGCTATCGCTTCCACCATCCACTGCTGGTGTGAGCAGTCCAGCGTAGATCGAATCGTTGCCTTCTGAACCGCCACTGGCCGAGATGCCATTGATCTTGTGTGTCGATGGGTCGTAGTTGGAGAGTATATACTCAACGGCTCTCCGAATATCTCGTGTGCGAACGTGCTGAGATTCCCACCACGGTCTGCCTTTTGCATCGTCGGGAAGAGTCACGTCGCATTGCTTGCAAGCTGCGTAGAGGCTAGTAACCGCAATTACTCGGCTGCTGACCAGGAGGCAGAGCTGTGTGTTGTTGCTGTCCGTGACGAAACCCCACGCAGCATTGCGAAGACGCTTGTTGTGCTCTATGCCATAGTACTTGAGCATCTCGAACAGCTGCCTGTGTGGCGACTCCACCGTCAGGTCGAAGCACAGCGTCTCCAACATGTGGTCTTCGTTGTGTAATATCAGGTCCCGCCATTTCCAAAAGTCCTTACTCTGCTCGTCAACGACCAAGTTCGGATTCTTTTGCGCCACTCGACAGAATGCCAAAACGAGCTCCTTCATCTTGCGACAACTTTCTTCCACCTTTGTCGCCAGAAACAGCGCCGTTGCTGCGGCCTGGAAGTGGTGGAGCTTCGGGATACCATTGCGCTCTCTCTTTAAGCTGCCTCGCATAAGGAATCGTTGGAAGAAGATTGACGCGGTGCTCAGTGTCAATTGGGGAAGCTTCAGCATAATTCCAACCTGTACAATGAAGTTGATGCCTTTCACGCGCTTGTCGCGCTCTTCGTCGACCGACATGCCATCCTGTATTGAGGGCGTGTTCGCGAGCTCTTCGTCTGTGAAGATCCATTGTGCTTCAGCCTCTTGGAGTACCGCATTGGGACTTTTCGGTCGTTGTCGCGTCGCAGGATGTGTCGGAGGCAAATGGTTGGTATTGGAGGGCGGCGGCATGGCCGCGAGCGCTCAGACTTTTGCGCGCGCGTAGTTGGGAGCCGTGTCACCCACGCGTTAGCTGTATGCTATTCGTGAGTGATCGCAGATGCAGGATCGGATCGGTGATGCCTGCGGCGTGAGGCGATGAGCTGAGGCTTCAATCGCTCACGGCACTCGGAAGCGGTGGAAAGTCCAGTGCAGACTCCGGCGGCGCATCTGTCACGGATGTTTTGCGATGCAAAGCCGAGTGAAGGCGAAATCGTGTTGGAATTGCAGTACGGAATTGAGAGTGGTGGTAGTGTGAGGCCGCGAAGGTGGAAAGGAAGATCCACTCGCTGTCCATCAACACGTGCGCAACCTCGCTCGAAAGCTTAGCACGCTCTGACGGAGCTCCATATATACCAGATTGTTAATGGAGGGTTGGCTTCACTTTAGTCTATTGTCCTGTTGCGCCTTCCTTACTAACCTTACTATGCCTATTGTCGCGATAAACCTTACTTAGACTCGCTATACTTTCGCGCCTTGCCTCGTAATATTCTTCTTCTATCGATAATACCGATAGCGATACCGATACCGATAGCAGTAGCCGCTATAACTAGTATTCCGCGAGACCTTATTCTTAGCGTAGCTTTAGCAGCTTTAGCTTCAACTTTAGCAGCGTATTTACTAGTAGCGCACTTACTAGTAGGAGGAGGAGAATATTTATCGTAAGTCGCGAGGTATATCGCTATAGACTCGCTACTAACTCGCTTTAGACTTCGACGCCCTACGACTATAAATACCTACGATTTCTAGTACTATAGCGCGCAGATATAGTAAGAGCTACTCGATTAGATAGCGATACCGGATAAAAAGAAGGCGGTATTAAACAGACTACGGAAATATAAGGCTACTAGAATTATTATAGAAACGGACTCTAGCAAGCTTATACTAGCGCTATACTACTACTATATACGCTCTAATGACTTTGAGTATCGTATACTTAATACTAAGGGCGAGCGTATCTACGCTTATTATAAGTATAAGGGCAAGTCTAGCTATACGGCTAGTATAGAAGAGGTTAAAGAAGACGATAGAAACAGCGAGCTAGCCGCGATATAGGCGCGAGTCGAGGCCGTAGAGGCAAAGAATACTAAACTAGAGGCAAAGATTAAGGTATTAGAAGCTAGGTTCGATAAGTTAGAAGGATATTGCCTCTCGTAGTTTAAATAGCTTAAGAATAAGGCTATTATTAAGTCTAAGGATATGTATACGATATAGAAGGAGCTGTAGCTAAATAGCGATCGCGAGCTACTAGTAGATAATGTTTAAGGAGCGAGTCTATAGCGAGTCTATAGCGAGTCTATATTTCAATTTCCTTTCTTCTTCGATCGTGTCTCTATAGACAATAGATTAACTAGCTTCTAAGTACGCTTTAGCTTCTAACTCTTCTATCCGCTCTAACTATCTTACTAACTATCTTACTAGCTATCTTGCTAGCTATCTTGCTAACCTTACTAACCTTACTAACCTTGCTAGCCTTACTAGCCTTACTAGCCTTCTTGCTAACTATCTTGCTAACTATCTTGCTAACTATCTTGCTAGTCCTTAGCTTCGCTCGACTCTTTTAGAATAGGCGTAACTCGCGGTAGCCTCGCGGTATCCTCGCCGCTTAGGTTAATAAACTTAGGCGGCTTTTTAGTATCGATTACCTTCTCCTTCTATAGCTTCTCTTACTTAATCTCTATAGATAGAACAACCCCGTCCTAACTCGCTATAGTACTCGCGCTACTACTCGTAGTAGGAGTACTTAGCCGGTGCTTCCGCTTTAGTTGCCTTTATTACTACAGCTTCCGCTGTTATTAGATATAGATTTTAAGGTAATAGATTAGTAGCTGCTTTATTGCTTTCCCTCCTATTTGCGGTTTAAAGAGTATAAGAGCCTCTTTAACTAGTCCTAGGCCGAGTACTTTAGAAGCGACTTTATCTAGTAATAAGCGCTTATTATCGAAATTAGTATAGAAGAAGTAGTTCGTATAGTCGTCGACCTAATAGACGCTACCTTACGGTAGGTCCTTAGCGTTAATCCGACTAAGAACCTAGTCTATAAGTGATATATTAGCTTCTTCGAAGTCTTTGTTAGACCAGATATTAGTAATAGAAGTCTATAGGACTAGCGGATTATATTCCTATAGGTCGACTCTACCCCTACGAGAAACCTCTACTCGCTAGCTAAAAACTAAATAGCGGTAGGTAAATAATACCTTTATTAGCTCCTTTAATAGTTGTATAGGTATTAGTAGACGTTACGAGAGGCTCCGAGATCTAGCATTTAGTCGAGAAGTTAGCTTATACTGCTAAATAGCAGCATTGCGTATAGTATTCGCCGCCTTAGGTAGAGAAGGGAACGCATTAAAGCCTCGTACTATACTCGTAGTTAAACTCGTAGCAGCAGCGGTAGCAGTAGCGGCTGCTACTAACGGCTCGCGTATAAATCGCTCGGTTAGTAGATTAGGGTTCTTAAGACTATATTAGTTACAGAATGCGTATACTTTTAATAGTATTATATAGTTAGCGCCGGGAATAGTACAAAAGGTACCCTAGATAGGCATTGTTAGCAGTAGAACTAAGGTAGAACTATAGTAGTAGTATAGAGGTAGAACAAGATAGGAATTAAAAGATTAAGAAGGAAATAGAACTGAAATAAGCGACTCGCGGCCGGCTCGCGGCCGGCTCGCAAATCCCTTATTTTAGATTAGTATATATTATTTGCAAACTTAATTAGTCTAGCCCCGGTATTCGCCCTACCTAACGTCTAATTACGAGCTGCTAATAGCTTGTCCAACTCTATTAGTTTAGGCCCTAACCCTATAGCTGTATACTCGGCAATTAGCTATCGAAGAAGTAAGTATACCTAGCGGTAAACTCGCTTTCTATCGCTATTATTCTCGCTACTACTAACTAGATACGAGAAGCCGCGAGTCTATAATGCTATCTAACACTAAGTAAGCGTAGCCTCGGGCAGGTAGGCTTTAAGATCTAGGAATTAGCGAGTCTATTAGCGAGTCTATAGCGAGTCTATAGCGAGTACTATAGAATCTAATATATACCGAATCCTTAAAGGTCTTGCTCTATATTATTAAGTACGCTATTAGGCATAAGAATACCTTAATAAGAATGCCCGCTTAGCTCTAGATAATAGTATAGAATATACGGAATACCTAGTACGACGTATAGTCGATTAGCCTGCTTCCTAATCCGATAGCTGTTCTAGAGGTAAACAAATTCGAGGACTTTGTAGCGTATAATTAGTATGTAGACTATAAGGAAGGCAATCCGATCGGCTAGTAATTTAGCATCGTATAGTAACTCGCGTAGTAACTCGTAAAAATAGCCCCTCTAGCTATTTAATGCAGGTGCTTGCTAGCGCTACTATGCCTCGATCCGCTAGTTTATCTTACTCGTACCGTATTTAAAGCAGTCTTCGAAAGCTAGTAGTTCTAGTTCTAGTTCCGGTTCTAGGTTACTACGAGTCGTAAGGCGAGTCGTATAGTAAGCGTCCGCGGCTAGAATCGTTTCCGCCCTACGGTCTAATCGGATAATCTATAGCATTATACTACTATTCTTAATCGTTGTAATATATTAAGCGAGTACGGATATAGCTATACGGCTAGCAATCCCTATGCAGACCTAGATAATATAACGCGAGTAGACATTAATAGCTACGTAGATCTATATCCCCTAATGCTCGAATTTATAGTAAGTATCTATTAATATTGCGTAGCTAGGGCCTAGTATAACAATCGCTCTATAGTGCTCTCGCGCCCGCTTATAGCGGACTCGCAACCCTTTAGGATTTAGCAAGCAAGCTATACGATATAGCCGATCTCTACTAATAATGTTATATTTAGACCTAATATAGGTATATAGGTGCCGTCGGCCGAAGGACTCTACCGTAGACTTCTCGAGCTCTTCCTATAAGACCTCTACTATCTCCTCTTCCGCTTCTATCTATCTATCTCGCGATAATACCTTCTTTAATCTAAGCTCTTAACGTATCCGTTAATATCTCCGCTAGCTAATATTAAATCTATCTATCTTTAGTACTTTAACCGCTTCTTTATTAGTTAAGCGTAAAGCGGAGAAGGTATATACGACTCGGATCTTTAGTGCCTCGATATTATTAACTCGGTTATAGTAAGCGTAATAGCTATAATTAACCCCCTATTCCTTAAGCCTCCGATAAAGCGTAGAAAGAGCTATCTAGTAACTAGTCTTTTATATAAGGTACTATAGGATTTCGCCTTGTATAGTGCCGCTATTAACCTGTAAGGTTATCTAAGCCCTCTATAGCGAGAGATCGATACGTAGAGGCATTTTGCGAGTCAATAGCGAGTATAGTGCGAGGGCAAACATAGAAAGTTGGTCGTAGAGGTAGGTTAGTAGAGGCGGTAAGAACCTCCATTGACAATCTGGTATGTATGGGCCTCCCTACGCTCTGAGGCTGGGGATCCGATCTTTGTCAGGCCTCGCCTCGAGACTTCAGATCTGTCTCCGTACATTCTCCCGCTTGAGTCGTCCTCCATAATCCTCAAACTCAACATCCCTTACAGCCGCAGTCATGCCTTCAGGTCAAGGAAGTAGGTGCCTTCCGAAACCCTTCGCCAAACCCTGCCAAGTCAGCTGCCGAAACGCAGACATATGCTAATCGCGCTTTGACTGAACAGCCGGTACCAACCCGATCCACAATAAGAAGCCAAAGAAGAAGGCAGTCGAGGAGGACGAAGACGACAAGGCTTTCAAGGCCAAGCAGGCTGCTGGTGCGTCATCGGCATACTAGAGGGCAAGCGACGCCTTTTCTGACATTGGCTTGTAGACAAGAAGGCGCGAGAGGAGATGGCCAAGAAGGCTGGTGGAAAGGGTCCGTTGAACACTGGATCGCAGGGTATCAAGAAGAGCGGAAAGAAATAGGCGACTTTTTGATGGGGTGAGAAGATGTGTTGAGGATGAGATACGACGTGATGTGTACGGCGGAAGACTCAGGCATAGCACAGGCGTTTAGGGAGATATACCATTGCAAAGTTTTCCTTTGTGTGAAGCACTTTACGGCTCCTGGTAGGTCATACTGATGCTGCACAGTCCCTTGAATTTACCACGCAGTGACGGCAGCACAATTTGCGCCTGGAATAAGCAATGCCTGGTGACGATGTGGTGACAGCACGGCGATTCGGTCTAGAGGGTGGCAGCGAGGGTCGACGGTGATGTGTTGGAGACTCGCAAAGCGGGAGAACGCTGCTGAAAGGTCTCTCGCGAGCAGTGACAGGTTTGCACAAGGCGAAGGCGCACGACTGCTTAATCTTAATGAGGTGGAGCTGCGGCGAATTCAACTCAGTGTTGAACGCAGCGCGCCTTTTCCCATTGTGCCCAGACTCCAGCCAAACCGCTGGACCCGCATATACCGTCGCGAGGCGAAGGTGCGGCAACAACAGCAGCAGAACCACCGCGCGCGCCTCTTCTCCAAGCAGCTGCCAAGAGCAACAACATTGATGAAAAGTAAAAAATGGTGCGAAAGCCAGCAAAAATTGCCCTGCGCGAAGTCAGCACTGTAACACACTGTTGAAGCCGAAAGGAAAACTCACCCGCTGCCGCCGCCGAAGCGACGACACAGCACTCGAGAACCACGCTGTGCAATGCAGTCTCAAATACTAGGCACCACCGATTCGTGAGCCGGTATACCGCGAGAAGGTCTGTCAAGAAATGTTAGTTGAAGGCTCAAAGTGTAGGGGTGGGGATGGGGGATACGGACAAGTATGCAGATCGAAATTGGAAAAATTGAAGACTTTTATACTGCTTTGAGAAGCTCGGACCATGGCGAATATGCGAGAATGGTTGTGACTAGGAATTTCGAAAGAAGGCCGCGGAAGTGAAGTGAAGTGAAGTGAAGTGAAGTGAAGTGAAGTGAAGTGAAGTGAAGTGAAGTGAAGTGAATGTTGTTGATCGTTGCTTGAGGCTAATAAAGCCCGCATCTCAAGCAAAGAAGTGATGAGGGAGGCAATTGTTTGGGCGGGATGAATGCCGCACATGCTGGTTGGAATTGAAGCTGTCGTCAGTCAACGCGGCGGCAGAAGTGAACTGAAAGTGAGGGAACGGTGGCAGCATGTGAAGCTTGGCAATGATCGAAATGCGGGAAAGCGAGGATTGGTCTAACACACATGCTCGTCACTGGCAAATTCGAGCATATACCATAGCTGATGACGAACCGATTATCACTTATTCATTTGGCTCTGCTGAAAATTTGTCTGACTGGCCGCCTCCACACAGCTGCCGTCCGATGCTTCCATTTTTCTGCCATGTGCTGCATTGACGATGAGTCGAAGAATAAAATGCTTTTCATAATGAATCTCGTCGCGCCTACTTCCATAAAACGAACTATCGTGAGCATTTGAGCGCAACAGAGGTGGCCGTAGTCTGGGTGTACCCGCGCGATTCGTTGCGCTCGAAAGTTTGGAACCGTCTGGACGCACGGTAGCTAGTTGAACATCGACGACCTGTATCTGCATCACATGAGGCCCGAGTGTGGTTTGTTCCCAGGGTAGATGAAGCTGCCTGTCCGCGGTCAACTCATCAAGAAGTTTAGATTCACGTGCGGGGAATCTGGAGCAATGCTGTTCATCAGCAAGGATTATATCGTAGCCGAAGAAGGTCTCGGTCACTGGTCCAAGAATCAGAATCAGTCGAGGCCATAAGTCGTTGCATCTGATCAGCATAGCGACCGAGTTCATCCCAGCATTCAACTTGTGGGCTTTTGCTTTCGGCCCCCGCGACGGAGAGTATTCATGTGCAAGGTCGCTGGAATAAGTTCCATCTGTAATCAATGGCCAGACGTCCACAAGGCTCCCCGACTCCATTTTCCTTTCCTCACATGTGGCTGAATTCACTCCTGAGGTGATGCTGATGCTATCGAGAACGACCCAGTACGTTGTTCGGGGTGCACGCTGCCTAATCTGCGTCCAGCTGAAACCTGCGGTCTCTTGCCGGATAAAAATCCTCACAGGACTACCGCGAAATTTCTCAGTATCAAGGCATCTTTTGATCGCTTGACTTATGGAAAGCGAATGTTGATGTTCATGTGAAGCTGAGCAGGAGTGAGTGAAACGCAGGAGGCTGGCAGGAGCAAGGATGTGTCTTGGCATTTAGTCCTCCCACGACCCACCTCCCATCAGGCTTGAGGCGAAGGATTACGTTGCAGCACGTGATAGCAAATAGTTCTACAGTATTCTCGAATTCAGGCAACAAGGCACTACATTCTCTACCAATTATACGTAGCCCCTAAAAATCCTTCGCTAACAAGCCTAAGAACAAAGCGCGCTAAACTAATTATAAAAATACGAACAACGTATAATAACGCATCTACGGCAATCTGAAACGTAGAGATTATAGCGCCGGTAATTACGAGTTATCCGATCTAAAAATCAAGTACGTACGACTATTAGGTATTAAGTTATACTATTTCTCCGATAGCTAGTCTACTATAGCCCTCTAAATTAGTAGGCGGCTAGCTATAGGGCTAACAATACCTCTATACGCAATACCTTATATCGACTAGCCGATACTTAGAGCTTCTTCTTCGCTATCCTTCGATTACTATTTATATAGGTTGTTTTCTCGTACGATACCTCCTTATAGTACGCTAGCGACTCGAAGGAAACTCGACTCCTATAATATACTATCTACGACTCGGAGGTCCTTACTAAGGTATTTATAAACACCTTTCTAGTATAGGATAACAGTACTTAAGTTATAGTTATCGAGAACTAGGTCGAAAGTAGAAGCTACTCGAAGCCGCTAAAGCTACTATAGTAAACATACCTAAAAACACCTAGAACAGGTCTAATAGCGGCCCCTATATCTACTAAGTCTATTAAGGGCCTTTCTAATATATCGAGTAGTAGTTTATCCTCCGCTCTACTCTCTAATAATAATCTACCTCTACCTTCCGATACCGACTAGGATATAGCCGATATAGAGCTAGAAGATAATACTACTAATCTGCCGAGAGCACTAGACGGCTCGAGTGTCCTACTACTAGGCGTACGGGTAGACAGGCCTATCTATCTAAGCAGTAGTAGCCTTAACTTCTCCGACGCTCTAGATAAAGTAATTAGACTAGCCGGTATATAGAAGGTTAGCGACTTCTAGGATAAAGTGTCTAAAGAAGAAGAAGAAGATAATAACGAAGACCTTAGTAAGGAGGATAAGGAGATATCCGATAATAAAGAGGACCTCGAGGCTCGCGATAGTAACGAATTAGATAACGATAAAGACAGTCTAGCGATCGAAGAAGAGCGGCGTATAGCGTTAAATGCCGCTCTTAAGCGCGTTCTTAATAAGCACTATAAGGAGATTAAGGATCTTATAAAGAAGAACTATGTCTCTATACTATACCTTATTAAGTATCTAGTCGGCAAGCTAGGCGCTAAAGTATTGTCGACCGCTAAAACGGAAGGACAACCGAAGTCTACCTATACGTAGCGCTCGAAGCGTTACGAGAAGAACATCTAGGCCCTAATAGAAGCTCTCTCCGAAGATCGTCTATTTAGTAGTCGTATTATCCGTAAAGAATTAAAGAGCCTAATTAGCTAAGACTTCTTTAGCACCTATAATCTAGCCTTTAGCTATGCCGAGTTTAATCTTAGTAGTATAGGCACTACTATCTAGGAGATTGTACTAACCTAGCATCGACTTCTTAGCGAGGAACTGTTGCCTAACGTTCGTTAGGATTAAAAGCAATACTAGGAGATATTTACCGACAAGTACAATGTAATACAGAAGCGTATAATAATAATAACTTCGTAGGTCCTCTTCTCGATAGCCTATATTAACGCCTTATATTTCCTAAAGGCGCTAGGGATCTTCCTTGTTAGCAATAGAGCGAGCCGACGAGTCCTCGAGTGTCTAAATAATCTTAGCCTTGTCCTATCGTATCGTACTATATAGATTCTTATAGGTAAGAATATAGAAGTCTAGATATAGAAGATTAGCGAGATAGCGACAGACCCCGATAAGTAGTATAGTAAGACTATCGACAACTTTAATCGTATAGAGACCTATACGGTTTAGCGGAGTAGTAAAACTAACAAGATGCTAAGTATTACTACGTCGTATCTTATAGAGAACAAGAATATTCTAAAGGGCGGTTTAAAGAAGGGCATAATCTATTACGATAAGCCTCTTAACGTAGACGATATCTTTAAGAATATATATAAAGATAAGGCGAAGGTCCTAATTGCCGTAGCCCCTACTACTGCTACCGCCGCCGCTATCGCTACGGACCCCTAAGCGACTAATATCGAGGTCGCGGAGATTAGCAAGAAGACCGCTATATTCTATATCGATAAGGCTATTATATACACCTTCCTAAAGGATATTAAGAAGATCTTTAATAATAAGAAGGTAGGAGATAGTCTAGTAGTACGCCTATTATAGCTAGTAATCGATAAGATACTAGCCGTATAGACTAAGGTACTCTCTATACTACTATCTTTTAATAATAAAGCTATACTTATAGGGACTTATTGTTAGGACTAAAGAGGTTACACGTAATTAGTATATAACTAGGCTCGAGTAAAGCTAGGGTCTCGATGCCTTAGGCAGGGCTTAGCGCTTAGCGTTAGGCTAACTAGCCTGCCTTCCTCCCTCTCCTCTTAGATCTTTATTAAATACTACCTATACCTACTACTACCCTATCTACCTGCTAATATACCCTTCTTATACAGTATTCGATCCACCCTTTAAGGGCAGCAGCTAGATAGTTCTTATTTCAAGCTTTTAGCGGTATAGCTACGAACAAGACTAATCTAACTATATTGCGCCCGAAGAACGGGACCTATACGTACTATTCTATCGAGACAACCGTACCAATTATTAAGCGAGGCCTTCTATACGGCCTATTATACTAAGTTAATCGTACTAGACTAATATCTACTAATTCCGCTACATCCGTATCTTAGGGGCTAATAATATATTATTAGTATTACCCCCTATTACAATAGCCGGCTTATTACGAAGCAACAACAACCGTGCTACCGCTAGTAGCGCTAGCAATAACAACGCTAGTAGCACAGTGCCTACTACTAAAGTGCCTACTAAAGCACCTACTAAGGTGCCTCCTACCGAAGAGCCTACTATAGGACCTGCTAAAGAAGAACCTACAATTCTAGGTAACGACCTAGAATTGCCTGTCGACGACATTCTTAACAATATTGTTAACCGTCGATATAGCTAGCTAGCCTTTAGTCCCTAACTAGTAGCGAGGCTTTAAGAAGCTACCTAAAACAGGCTTACTGCCTTGCGTTAAGAACAATAGCTAAAGGATAATCTTCTCGAGATTCGCCGCCTCTAGGAATCTCTAACAACTACTACTAAGCTAATAGCAGGACCTTCTTTACTACCTATCTAAAAGAAGGATACTAAACTTAAGGACTGCACTGTATTTAATAGCTCTAGTCGAAAGCAGTATAACGACTATATTCGTAACTATAAACTTAACTAGCGCAATGTACTAAGAGCGCTACTAGACGACTATTCCTTAGTTGTACACGCTATATAGTACATTAATAGCGACCTAAAGCGCATATAGGATAACTATTTCGACTCCCTTAATAACTAGACTGCTATTTAGTAGCAAACCTATAAAACTATTATACTAGATACCCTTAGAAACCCTATACTAAGGCAATAACATGCTTAGGACCTGTATCTTCGAGCTAAACAGAAGACTAATTAATCGGCTCGCTTATTTGAAGCCTATTTAAAGACCCTCGAGGATAACCTTCCGCCTAAGACTAATTCTATATAGATCTCGGAAATACGCCTAAAACTTAGATAGGAACTTATCCTCGAATTAGACCGTCGCCGCGTGTTCGAATAAGCTAACCTAATACGCATTTAATTTATAGTCGAAGTAGAAACAGCCGAACGAGCTATCTAGCTCTAATAACGACTAGAATTAAGGATCCGACTAGCTAGTACTAACCGTAGCAATCGTAGTAGCCGTAGAGGAAACCAAGGTTCCTACTAAGACAACAATACTAATAGTAGGAATAGTAATAACGACCGTAGAAGGGGCCGTAGCCGGCGACTATATAGAGGAGGCCGCGATAGGGGCCGTAGAAGGGGCTCGTATCCCTATAATACTAACCGCTCGGCTAATAATAGTAATAACAGCTACAGCAACCTACTAACCGGATTGAAGTGCTTTAATTATAACAGTACTAGCTATCTACTAGGCTAATGCGACAAACCTAAGGACTAGGCCCGAATTGACTATGCTTCCGCTAAGCATAGGAAACACCTTTTAGCCGCTAATACTACCCTAGTCGGCTCTTTTAATTAGTCGAAAAAAGAGTAAGCGCCGTACTAACTGTTAGCCTTGTGCGGCGTAAGACTATCGACATTGTGCTAGCTGTTGTACGTACCTGTCTTACATCTAGGCCCGATACTAACTATAAGGCAAAGGTTATACTAGACCCCGGAAATTCAGTTAGCGCCCTTATTAGCTATCGCCTAGCTAAGCAATTAGACCTTCGACAACTGCCGAGGACTAACCTACTAACCCTTGCTTAGTTTAATAACGCTCGGCACTTAACCTATAGAGCCTACTATGTTCCTATAGTTCTAAAAGACGACCTCGGAAATAAACGCCTACTAAACTTCACTGCCTACGCGGTAGACATAGATAGCCTCCTATCCGATATTGTTATTAGCAACCCTGTTCTTAAGTACTATGCTATAGTTATAGACTTAGGCAGTTAACAATAGCGATTTGGAATCGCTAGGAAAGAGGACATTAAACACATTAATGTTAGCGAGTGCCCTAACGATATTAGGGTCCTGTTTATTAGCAACCTAATACCTGCCTTAGCTAATCCGACTGCCGACCTACTCGGTAGTAACGACGATAAACCTGTGCCCCCTAACAATCCTAATTAGCTTGCTCGCATACTAGAGCCTATCCGAGAGACCTATATTAGTGTATTTAAATACTACCTAGCATCGACATTGCCTATATTCAAAGAGACGGATTATAAGATTAACATTATAGAGGGCAAAGAGGTTCCTTTTAGCCCCCTCTACAACCTTAGTAAGCGAGAGCTTGCTGTGTTACGTAAGTACCTAGAGGAAAACCTAGCTAATAGTCGAATTCGGTATAGTAACAGCCCTGCTAGTGCACTAATCCTGTTTGTTCTAAAGAAGGATAGTAGCCTACGGTTATGCGTTAATTACCGTAGGCTTAACGCTATTACTATTAAAGACCGCTGTCTACTCCCCCTTATTAATAAGACCCTCGATCGCCTTTCTAGGGCTTACTACTATACTATACTAGACATTAAGGATGCGTACTACCGTATCCGCATTCGTAAGGGTAACGAATAGAAAACAGCCTTCCGTACTCGCTATAGCTATTTCGAATACTTAGTTATGCTATTTAGCCTAGCTAATGCCCCTATAACATTCTAGTCCTATATTAATCGAGCCCTTTTAGGCCTATTAGACTATCTCTGTATAGTTTACCTAGATAATATCCTAGTTTATATATATTTACCTAATATTATAGAATACTAGGCCGTAGTACGTAAGGTCCTTGACCGCCTACGAGCCTATAGACTATATTGCAAACCTTCTAAATGCACCTTTGCTACTAAGGAGGTGTCTTTCCTTAGTGTAAGGGTTAGTAGCTAAGCAGTAAGAATGTATACGAAACTTTAAACTAAACTAAAGGGAGCACTAAATTAATATAGCTACTATCTATATAAGACGAACTGCGAAGAAAGGAAGAAGGGTGCCTTAGAGGGAGAGCCCCTTCCTTAGTATTCCGCCCTGCGGCCGTCTAGCGCGTCCGACGCGTAAGCGCAAACACGTATGTCCGCTATCTCGCAGCGCCTTTGTCTCCTAGCTAACTTGCGTAGCGCGCGTATACGAACTCGTTTAACCGCTCTTAAGCAAACATGTTTCTCCTAGCTCTTCCCTACCTTCCGGTTCCTTTCTACTACTCGGATCTGTCCTACGACTCTATATATCTCGCTTGCTATCGTCCGTATATACGTACGCGTAGTTTAGTATAGTCCCGTCGTTCGTATATTAATATATAACGTATTATTCTACTATATACGGCCTCTACGGGAGTCCCTAAGATATTACGTTATACGGCTAAGTAGGCGGCTAACTAGGCGACCTAGGCGACCTAGGCGACCTAGGCGACTTAGGCGTACTAGGCGTACTAGGCGTACTAGGCGTACTAGGCGTACTAGGCGACCTAGGCTAACTAGGCGACCTACTTCGCTAGGGGCCCCTACTACTAAGGCAACTTAAATCCGATATTACTTTATAGTATAGCGGCTAGCTTATAGGACTTGTCGGTGCTTTCTAGGCAGCTACTATAATAGTAGCCCCCCCCTCGTTCTGCGCGGAGTTCCTACGACGCTAAAGGAGGTCCGTATATAATAGGTGCTAGTATTCTTGTCCTAGTTTAGGTCGGAGACCTTAATCTAAATTCTATTCGTACGCTTCTCGGAGAAAATGTTCCGGGATAGCTCCTTCTATTGTCGTATAGTCGGTATAGTCTCGTAGGAATTCCTCGATTGCTTCGCGGGCGAAGATAATATAGCGTAGAGGTTCCTAGGTCGTATCCTCGTCTAAGTACCCCTCCTATTATACCTCTCCCTACGGCCCGGGAGGATTGAGATTTCCGAAATTTGTGTTACTAAAGCTCTATCCGATAATCGCCCGCACTGTGCCTAAGGCAGATTCCGGCTCGTTTTCGGCCTAATCGGTAGCCTCGGTAGCTTCCGGCATCGGCGGGATATCTTCGGGGTCCGCGATTTCTCCGGCAGTTCTTAGATTAACAACGTATTTAACCGGGTAAATGTTGAGATTTTCTAGGAGATCTAGTTCGTATACGTATATACCGACTTTCTTTACAATCCGGAAGGGTCCTAGATTTTTCTAGTCGAGCTTTTTCGAAGGTCGGTTAGTTCTAATATATCGTAAGTCGAGGTAGACGTAATCTCCGACCTAGTAATCTAGCGCGGCGCGTCTGCGCTAATTAGTATAGTACTCGTACACTTCTTAGGTATACTTTATCTCGTCCTAGAGCTCTTAGTAGGTCTAGGCTATTTAAAGAGCGAAGGCATCGGCGTCTCTTTCCGGATCGTTTGCCGGGGGCTCTAGTTCGATCTCTATTAGTTCTATACCGGTTCGGGGGTAAAATCTAGTAGAGGCGTAGAACGGCGTAGTCTAAGTTGTAGCCGACTCCTAATTGTTAATAGCAAATTTAATAGAGGGCGTTAATCTTAGCTAGTCGTTTTAGTAGTAATTATAGAAGCACCTAATAATTTGCTCGATCTGCGCGTTAGCCCGTTCGGTTTGCCCGTCGGTCTACGGGTAGTAAGCCGTTAAAAGGCGCGCTTAAATTTTTAATCGTTCGTAGAGGCGCTTCTAGAAACGGGTAACGAAATTCGGGCCGCGATTAGATACAATTAATTTAGGTAGGCCTGTATCTTTCTATACGTCCTAGTAGAAGACCTAAGCCGTATTCTTTACGGTTAGGCTGCGGGCATTTAATACCTTCTTGCGTTTCGTAAGGCGGCAAACTACGACTAGCATATTTTAAAACTAGAGGCCGTTAAAGTCGGATCCTTTCGGTAGGCCTATAATAAAATCTATTAAAATGTGTTGCTATAGTCGTAGAGGGACTTTAAGAGGTTTTAGCAGCCCTTGCGGCTTACGCATATCTACTTTCGCCCTACGGCATACTACGCAGTTCTTAACGAATCGGTCGACATCTCGGTATAGATTAGGCTAGTAGTACTACTTCCGGAGCTAAGACAACATCTTAGCTCGACCGGGATATACTATTCCGAGAGGGTTATAAGCGGAACGCATAATCTAGTCGCGTAAATCTTCGAACTCCGGGACGTAGAGGGCATTTCTAAATATTATACGGGGTGCTCGCGGTAGGGTTCTACAGAGCTCGTACTCTAAGAGAGAAACGTTCTCGTATAACTGCTCCTTGTTCTATAAAGCTTAAATTAGACCTTTAGTAAAAGCGTCTTCGGCGTATACTATCGTAAGCTGCTATTCGAGCTAGGTAGGTTCGAGGAGGTCCTACACTTCCTCTTCGCTTTCCTAGTCGCTATCTAAGCTTTCTAAACTCGTGTCTTCGTCGTCCGAGCTATCGTCGTCTCCGAGAAAGGTAGGAGCGGCTATTAGTATAAAGGATGCTACGAGAGGCTCTAGGCCGGTAAGGTCGTCTCCGAGGAGCTCGTATAGTTCCTAGCTAAGGTTGTATTCCTTAAGGATAGACTGTTTTTTACGCTACGGACCTCGATCTAAAGGCGAGTCTCCGTTATGCCTCGTAAGTACGTCGGCCTATAAGTTTGCTTTGCCGGGCGTATACTAAATAACGAAGTTAAACCGGGAAAGAAACTTACTCTAGCGTACCTGCCTACGGCTAAGGATTTTGCTCTTAAGAAAGCAGATAAGGTTCTTGTAATCCGAGCTAACCTAGATTAGTAACTTAGAACCTTCGAGTTCCGGACGCTATTCTTCGAAAGCCTTAACGATTACGAGGAGCTCCTTATCGTAGATATCGTAATTATACTCTACGGAGGACATTTTCTTAGAGAGGTAGGCTACGGGTAGCTACGCATCTTCCGGGATCGTTCGTTAAAGGAGAATAGCGCTAGTTATACCGTCGGAAGCATCGGTTTCTAGGCGCGTTTCTTTATCGAAGTCGAAGTACTATAGGATCGGTACGGTCGTAAAACTTTGCCGTAACTAGTCGAAGGCTTCTTAATAGGCCGGCGACTATTTAAATTTAACGTCTTTCCGCGTAAGTGCCGTAAGTAGACGGGCGATTCCGCTAAAATTCTGTATAAATCTCCGGTAGAAGTTAGTAAAACCGAGGAAGCCCTAGACTTCTTTTACGTTTCGTAGCACCCCCTAGTTTAGAACGGCTTCGATCTTGCCGGGATCTATTCGAATACCTTCTAAAGAGATAATAAGGCCGAGGAATTTCACCTCTTACTTATAGAATTCGCACTTATCGATATCGATATATAGTCTAGCTTCTACGAGTTTCTTAAGTACCTTTTCGATATGTTCGTAGTGTTCCGCTTTCGTTTTGCTATAAATTAGGATATCGTCTATATACGCCGAGACGAAGGCGTCTAGGAATTCTTTAAGCGTATCGTTAATATATAATTAGAACGTGCTAGGTCCGTTATAGAGCCCGAACGGTAAGACTAGGTATTTAAAAAGGCCGTAACGGGTTCGGAAGGCTAT